ATCTGAATTTGAGAAAAAAAAAAAAAAAGGTTGGCATAATGTTTTATACACATATAAACATATGTTTTAAAGTATCAAAGTCCCAAAAAAACATGGTTAAGTAGCCCAAGTATAAAAACAAACATAGGCCTACATTTTATTTTAAAGAGCATGTTTCGACATTATGAAACGCAAGCTTAGGCCAAATTCAGTAACCCTAAGAAAATTCGATATTAGGCCTACAAACAAACAAACAAACAAACAAACAAACAAATAATGATAGGCTACTTAACTATTTACCTTGAAAATGTTTGAAAACGATATAAAAACGTAGGCCTAAAAATATATTATAAAAGTATATTAAAACTAGATTATCGTCTCGGAAAAACTTTTTTTTTAAAACCCATGTACACTGGCTTCTGTTTTGTCAGTAAATGTTTATATAATAAGTGAATCTAAACTTCACAAGTTAAAATATACCTTCCCAAATAAAAGGCCACATCTCCGTCTAATGCGTTTTCAAACTCAACCCAAGCGCTTCTCTGAATTTGCAAACTATTTCCCAACAAAGCCAAATTGAGGGCTTCGGAAACTTCCTGAAAGCTTGACGAAAAATCGCTGAAATTAATGTATCCGTCCCCGTCCAGATCAAACTTGTTGAATAAAGTCCTGATCTCGTCCGCAGGCACATTAAGCTCTCGACAAACACTGGTGAAGTCCTCGTATTCGACTCTTCCCGACTTATTCCCATCACATGCTGCAAAAAGTCTCCGAAGGTCAGCTTGGTTCATATTTTCACTAGACGAGGACAAACAAACTAACTGTAATCCAAAATACACCCGTGTACAACGATAAGGCTCCAAAAACGATAAAAAGTGATAAAAAGACGAAAGGAGAAGACGAAAGTGTGAAGAGGAACGAACGCTAAAGACTCGTGATCTAACATGTACATCACCAACAGGTGCGCAGAAACTTCACGCTGAAACCAGAGGCAGGTTAGATAAAGGCATGATTGGATGATCGCTCATTATCTCGCCTTGTAACAAGTTGAACTCAAGGTAGTGTGCCATTGGATAGTGATGGGAGGTAGGCGTGCTGTAAAGTGTACAACAATCTGAGAACCAGCCCACATTTTGGTCTAGCCAGCTAAAACTAGCAAAAAACAGCCAGAAGACCAGCCTGACCAGGGGTGCGTGCCGCAGACTGGGAGAGGACTAAACACATGTGTGATGTCATTTTATTCGTGTTTTCTATTAATCACAAATATAAAAATTATATTATTATTAAAAATAATAAAATTAAAAGTGAATAAAATAAAAAAATCACATTTTTAACATTTACAATGTACAAACGTTTCTCAACTATTATTAAGCATTGCCATATTTAAAATATGTTGTTTAATATGTTGTTCAGTTTTACTTAAAAGGTTATGCTACTTTGGTTGATTAGGCTGTTGTTCATTACATGATACATTAATTGTAATAAGCTAGGTGCTTATAAATTTGTTCAAGCATGACACCTTTATTTTCTAATATATATTTCTGAAATTCCCACAAGGATTTCAACATCATATATGAAAAAAACAAAACAAAACAAAAAAAAACTGGCGTTTAATTGTGTTTAAATTCAAAAACACACTGATTAAGCCTGATTGGTTCCAGAGCCATTGAACGGCTCTGATTGGTTCGTATGATAATGAGCTCACCCCAGAGAGCTTCGTATATAAAATATGATGTGCGTGCAAATGTCTCTTGAATGTGAATATAAGTCTAAATTTAAACAGTATTATATAGAGCGGCCGCGATCGTGTCTCTTTAGGGCACTTGGAGGAAACCACGCAATTCATATGGATTACTTTGGCGATGTTTTTTTGCGATTACAACTTTTTGAAACGTGAACATCTTTGGTGAATCTTCTTTCATCGGAGGGACATAAATCTCTCAGATTTTTATTAAAATATCTCAGCTTTTCTTTTCAAGATGAACGAAAGTCTTAGATGGTTTGGAGCATCTTAAGGGTGTGATGACAGAATTCAAATTGTTTTGGGGGAACTATGAAATTAATTAGAAAATATAGCGGTATGTTCTTATTTTTACCAGCTTCTGCAAGCGTGTATGGCGTCTGGCTTTTGGAACCTCACTGTGACTTCAGGTAAGATGTAATTAACGTTATTTGTTTGTGCCAGTCGTGTTTTTGACACATGCATTGGCAGAAAAAAATAAATAAAATAAAATTAGTCATTATAACATGTACAACATTAACATTCTTTTATTTGCAAAATGAAGTTGTGTATTTATTTATTTCTGAGGGACCTCAATTTAGGTCCCCACCGTGACACGAGTCCCCATGAGTCTGTGTGTATTCAGGTTTAAGTCCCCACCAGAAAGAATAGAAAGGTACACACACACACACACACAAGTTGGGTTTCTATGTTTTATGGGACATTCCATAGACATAATGATTTTTTTATACTGTACTGAACGACACACACAACTGGTCAAAAGTTTGGAATAATTTTAATTTCCTTACCAAGTCTCTTACCAAGGCTGAATTTATTTTGTTAAACATACAGTAAAGGCAGTAATATTATTACATTTTCATATTGTTACAATTTAAATAACTGTTTTATTTTAAGATGTAATTTATTCCTGTGGTAGCAAAGCTGAATTTTCAATCTTCAGTGTCACGTGATCCTTCAGAAATCATTATAATTTGGCGCTCAAAAACATTTCTTCTTATTACCGGTATTAATGTTGAAAACAGTTTTCCTGCTTAATATTTTTGTGGAAATTCTGATATAGTGCCATTCAAAAGTTTGGGGTAAGTATAAAAAACTTTTATTCTGCAAGGACGCTTTAAATTGATCAAAAGTCACAGTAAAGACATTTATAATGTTACAAAAGATTTGTATTTCAAATAAATACTTTTTATTTATCAAAGAATCCAGAAAAAGATGTATCACTGTTTCTTCAAAAATATTAAGCAGCAAAAACTGATTTCAACATTAATACGGATGATTGTTAATAATTGAGCACTAAATGAATGATTTCTTAAAAGATCACATGACAGTCAAGACTTAAGCAATGGCTGCTGATAATTCAGCTTTACCATCACAGGGATAAATAACATTTTAAAATGTATTACAATAGAAAACAGTTATTTAAATAATAATAATATTACTGTTTTCCCTATATATTTAATTAAATAAATGCAGCCCTGCAGTTATGGGACTCTATTTAAAAGCATAAAAAAATATTTTTTACCAGCAGTGTGTGCAACAGTTTGATGCCACTGTAATAGTTCTATGCCTCTGCAAGTTTCAAAACTGTAACAATAACTGACACAAATAATGTTGAATCAGTAAGAATCAGTGGTTTTATTTCGTTTATTTAAAAAAATTAAAATTAAAGTGCTTTTATGTACAATATAATAAAAACAACAAAACAGTAGTGATATATAATACAAAAAAATACATTTCACAACAGTTTTTTTTTTCTTTACATTGGCAGCAAAATGTACAAATACACCTTTACATTAAAGTTTACAAGACATTAACTTACAATAGGTCAGAGCATCTTGGTGTGCCATTATAGGGAATGTATCTGAGCATTTAAGAGTGTAGCAGACTACTACAGTCCAGTAACTCTTATGTCTGAGTCAGTTCAGCACTGAAATATGACTATATGACTTTCTATACTTGACTAAATCTACTGCTTGTAGGTAGCAGCTGATGTACAGTGAAGTTTTCACATTGTCTACTCTGTAAAACGGCACGCTAATGATAATAATCAGATGATGTACTGAAAAACATAAGCAAATTTGCTTACATTTTAAATTGTTTTTGCATGATATTTTGAATGTGATTTTCAAACAGAGGTCTGAGTATATGTAAAACAGTTATATTATTATTACAAATACATCGTTTTTTTCTCTCTCTTTTTTGTGCTTTAAATATAGTCGGTAAGTGTTTTGTGTGTGTAAATATATATATTAGGGACCTCTGTAGATATTAATTAGCACAGTGGACTTGCAGTGGACTGTTGCACAGATGACCATTCAATATACAGTGGTTTGCGACTTTACATGTTCTAGGTAATTCTATGTGTAGTCCACCAGAGCAGACATGCATGTGAGGTTTGCTTTTTGTTCACGTGTTTGAGTCACAAAAAGGCTACAATATTACATTTGCTTGCCCGCATACCCTTGGAGTCACAAAATCTAGCTCGGAGGCATTAACAAAATTCAATTGGTACTTGCTACAGCAATGTCAAGAGAATATTAATTCCCTGACACTTTCATTTGAACCATTTCCACATTCTGTGCAAATACAATAGGAAAAAAAAAGAATTGTAATGCATTCTGGTAAAAAAAAACAAAAAAAAACATTAAAAGCCGTTCACTACCTCCCCTTACAAATACAATTATACAACTTTGTGATCAAAGTCATGAAGTCATAAATGTCCCGTTTTCAAACATTCAGCACAAATTTAAATAAGACACAATGTTTCTATTGACAGAATAATTTTGGAACACTTTCAATCAATACATAACTACATTCACAATACAGATGTTTGTGTGATCTTTAAAGATCAATGGCAATCAAATATTACACACTTGGGTGGTGCAATATACAATGCTTGTCTTTGGGAATTTTACTGGAAATATGTTGATACTGGAAATAGACATTTTTTTTAAATTGTTTTTTGTGTGCGTGTTGTTAATATACATTTTTATACATTTTTACATGGATTCTTATGTTGATTTTATGCTATAGTAACTTACATTTGTGTCTTGTTTTGTTGTTTCCATCCCCATTGCTTTGCAGCAACCAAGTACTGTACTGTACTTTTTTTTAATTTTTTTTTTTATTCGATCCAGTATGACACTCTTGGCAGCTGATGATTTATAACTGACTGTTTCATATACCTATATGTCATTGCTCCCACCCAAAAACATCTGTTAGCCTGCTTTGACTTAAGGTGTTACAGTGAACATGGCACTTTTTCATGGAAAAAAATCTGCTGGTCACTTTACACTCTTCGGGAGCATAGATCTCATAGCTTAGCGTAAAATTGGCATGTAAAGTCTTAACCACAAGTTTTCATTCTGTCCGAATGCAAATTCATCATTCAAATTTACAACATGGCAATAAATATCTTTAATCTGGACAAAGTACACTTTCGATTCAAGAGAACAGAGCTCTTGACAGATACAAAGAGATCTGAAATGGTTCACTAAAATCTTTTGGCACAACAACCAATTTGAATCAGTAAACCTCAAGAGACGTTTGGTCACTTCCATTGACTGTATTATGCACTACTTCAAGGGATAGTTCAGCTGAAATTGAAAATTCTGTCATCATTTACTCACTCTCATGTTGTTCTAAACCTGTATGACCTTCTTTCTTCTGTGGAACACAAATAGAGATATTTTGAAGAATGTTTCTGCTGATTTTGTCCAAGTGGGGTCCAAAACAACACTTGAAACCATTGATTTTCATTTGACATTTGGAGTGTGAGTAAATGATGGCAGAATTTTCATTTTTGCGTGAACTGTCGCTTTAAATCAGTGGTTCTTAAAAGGGGCCTCAAAATGACTTCAAACAATTAAAAATAATTAAATAATTAAACATTAAAATAAGTAAAACAAACTAACAATCAAGTTATTTCTATTCAATTCACCCCCTGTTTTTTGTCTTTGAAGAACCAGAATTCCAAAAACTTGGATATATGAGAATTTAACTTTTTAGATTTCTAGACCTGGAAAAGTCATGTAAATTAATAAAAACGTATAACTCCATGGGCATTTTTTTTTTATGAATACAATTTTTCAGACAGAAATTAATCTAGTAAATCTAGTCAATCACAAACAACTGGAAAAGTCATGGGATCCTCAAATGATGTTCTGGACTATGGGGGGCTTTGGAGTCAAAATGACTGAGAACCACTGGTTTAAATGGTCTATCACTGGTAGCAACTGAA